TTGATTAGGGCTTCTTTTACACACAATCTTAAAATAGGCTGACCTTTTTGTTGAAGTCTGCCTTCTCATTTGGAAGTTAGGGGCTTTGCAGACCGACATAGCTACCTCTGACGCTACCTTGAATGGACCCGCGTTTATAAATAAACCGAAGTCGGGACGTAAAAAGTGCGATATCCCCCTCCTCCCTCTGTTCCTGCTCCGCGTAATTTTTCCTTTCCTCCCTTTTCCCCCACACCCTTTGCCTCCTTCCAGCCCCCCCCATAGTTTTCATAATAATACTAATAGCAGGTAGCAGTAGCAGCATCTTAGTCATCAGCAACAGTAATGTCATCATTTGCTATCCTCAGCCCTACGGCTCTATTTTAGATGAATGACACTGCATCAGAAATACCAAAACCCACCAAGGTCGAGGCGACGCCAAAGTCTGGGAAGAAGCAGAACAAGAAGCATACGCCGAAGACTGGCACACCCTCGGAGGTAAGGACTTTTACCATTCGCAGGAGCTAGGTTACCCCGCTTTTTTTGCTGAATTGAAGAGTCTTCTGCCTGCCTCTGCTTTCTCTACCTCAGGTTTCAACTCTGAATGCTAGTGGGAAGAAAGCCACACCTGCATCAAGCAAACCGGTCTCCGCTGGCTCGACTCCGTCAACGTTTCCGAAGTTGAAGAAGCCCGCGCTGGTGACTGACACACCTGCTATTGAAAAGGTTAGATTAGCTGTTTTTGGGACAGCTAACGTCTCGGAGCTATACGTAACACTATCAGAATACCCAAGTCGTATAGTACTGAAAAAAAAATTATGACCGACGACAAAATGAAAAGGCATTAGGCTGACTGTTTCTGGTTTATTTACCGTCGTCAGCAAATTGCAGATAGTGTGGTTTGCTGAGCGGCTGAATCGCGCGCACATCTTCTCTCTTTTAGAGTACATCGGACATGTCAGGGCAGTATCTTGTTGAGTCCGTAGCTCAATGGTTGGGGCATTAGACTCTGATCGAGGAGATCGTGAATTCGAGTCTCCAGTTGTGCACCGCTGGGTATGACTGGCTGACGACGGCTAAAAAGCCTGAAATGGCCATTCCAGTCTCCCCTGCCTTTGCCGGCAATACTGCCTGCTTAAGATTACTAGCCGCTGTGGCTGCTGTCAGGGCCCGAGAAATGAAGCCCAAGGCAAAGGCCGAGCGGGACAAGTGAGTCCCGTTAGCGATCGGTGAACTTAGATCAACAAATGTCAATATCTCCCGAACTAAATAGGCAATGCAACAAGCTTGTGGGCCAATGGTTAGAGTGTTAAACTTCTGATCAACAGGTCGCGGTTTCGAGCCTCGGCGGAGCAGCACTAGGGATTGGTTGTGACAGGCAGATGACTACTGAGCCAGAAATTGTCATTATAGTCTCCGTTGTCTTTGTTGGCAATGCCGTCAGTCTCATGTTTTCTGGGAGAAGAGCCCCTGATCGTAAACAGTCCAACGGTATCCGTAGAACCTTACTGTGGCCGAGAACACTAACAGACTCATTATGCGAAATTTGGGCAGGCTGCCATCGACAAGGTCGACTTCGGAGCTGGACCGAATCGTCCCTGTGATTTCGCCTTTTCGAGAGGTAAATACAAAACACTGCGTCTACGTTCACTTTATTGTTGCGGCCTTTGTTATTGTTGGCCTTCCGGTTCAGATTTGAAGACTGCCAATTGATAGGACACTTCGGTCATCTCAGGACGGAAAGTCAAACTGTAATGGTCTTTTCTTAATGTGGTACTCGCATCCATGTGAACCCTTAGGTGCTCCCACGACCGGCTTGCTATGGGGATAGTTTCGTGTGTGGCACACGAGGTCGAGCTGTGTAACTTCGTCAGTCGCTGCACTCGAGCCCACACTCCCTCGTCTTAGCATTGTCTTGCCATCGTGGCCAGTTGTTTTGGAGAAAAGATAGTTGTCGTGATTGGGATATAGTCGAGTTATTCAGTACGCAAT